GCCACCTGGCCAGATTTTCTCAGGACCATCCCTTTTTTGAGGTAGCCATCCTGGGATATCTGTAAGGGTGCTTAGTACATAGCCAGGTGTCCAGTTTTATGGGCTCAAGGTCATCCATATCCTGGTTTTTTGTATCTCAGTGGTGGGAATCCTATCTCTTCTCCTTGCAGGCCCCGTGCTGCAGGGACTTGAGGGGCTCTATGCTGCGGCATTCATGTGCAAAGAGCCTGGTATTCTGCCTCTGTGGAACTGAAGGAAATCAGCCCCACAGATTCCCTGTTCTGTGCCTCCTCCTTCTTCTGCCTGCAGTATTTGTGCTGCAGGGCCCAGAGCCCCCCCCCCATGGCAGCCAGTCCTTACAGCCTCGAGGGCCTGGAATGGTTTCACCCCCTGAAGGAGTCCCTTAGTGACAGCAAGTGATTGTGCATCCTGCAGTGCATCAATCACTGCTATATCCACCTACAGTGTATCTGGCAACTTGCCCCTAATGACCAGCCACCACAGATGCTGTTTTCCTGAGTGTCCTGTAATAACATCCTGGGCTTGATTCTGATTTAATTTACCCCCATGAAAGAGTAACTCCATCACAGCCAATGGAATCACATGAGTATAAAACCAGCACTGGAGAGATCAGAATGAATGAACTCCACTGTGTTAGCTAATTTCATATTTAATTTTGAAAATCTGCCTGGTCAGAGCATTTAAATGACAAGTGAAGGAGGGGAAAACATTTTGGCCTGGCTCTCAGACATTTCTGGTGCTGCAGCAATGGCAGCATGAATGGAGGGAGCCAAGATTACCTGGAGCACAAACAAAAAGATTAACTAAGAAACAGGAAATGAATCCCACCTGACATCTGTGATGTAAACAGAGGAGTGGGGACAGCATTCCAAATAATGCTTATTCAAATACAGGCAGCTTGGGCATCACATCAAAGGGAGCGAAAAGAAAGAAAATCAGACTTGTTCTCCACTATGCCCAACGTACATCTTGTTTTTTTTTTAGTTAGCCCATGTTGGTTTAAGAGATTCCTTTGTCCTTAATCCCTTTATCTGGCTGTTGGCTTTGGGTTTTGCCACTTAATAAAAGAATGGCATTCTTGAAGCCTTCTGAAAGGTGAGACAATGTATAGCCTCCTTTCTCATAAGATTCAATAAGATCAAAGAAGTAGAAATATTTCTTTGTGTGGCTGACACATTCATATTATATCCTTCATAAGTATAAAGTTCCTTCATGCTGCACCTTTGCTGGTTCCATTTTTGATGATTTAACCCTTACAGTGTTTTTTGCCTTTCGATTCCTGATGCGTGATACTGGTACCAAAGTAAAGCCTCTGACTGACATGAACTTTGCAGAGAGAATGTTGGTAAGTGGGCAGATTACATCAGAGAAAATCTTTTTGCCTTAATTAATGTGTTTTCCTGTTGTACTCTCTCTTTATTGGCATAGCAAAGAATGGGATCATCCCTAATTGGCACAATATATGCCGCACATTCATTTGTGTGCTAGTACAGGTGAGTAAATGGTAATACTGGACCACAACTTAGAGTGATTTTTGCCCATAATACAGTGTAAATTGGCTGTATTGGTTCATAGCTGTAACCATATTTTTGATGACCAACTTTCATGTTTGCTTGATGTAGAAGAGCGTGGTGTAAATTGCTTTCTAGACCTGTTACTCAGGTAAAAGAAATGAAATCACTAGATCAGAACTGTAAACAATCATAATGATGGTGCACTTATGAATTGTTACTGAATCTTGACAGTCATGAACACACACATAGAGTTTGCACTATAAGGGCTACATTTAGTAGGTGTCCATCTCCAATTCCCTCTTAACACTTGCTCTGAGGATACATTGCCTTAATATTGAAGGAGCTGTTTGGATGCGTATTACATTGAACATTTCAATGGGTTTTCCTCTTTTCTTCTGTTTTCACAGTTTTATGCTGGTATCTTGGTTTATTTAATTATCTATACAATAAAATCTAATTGTGATAAATATGGTATTGTTAAGTGAGAGGTTATTTAAATAGCAATTGATGGGTTATCCTTTAACTTTCTTTTGCTGATCAGTAAATAGCTATTCCTGATTGGTGATAGAGGCAATGTCACTGTTGGGGGAGAGGGGAATATAAAAAGGCATTGGGAGCATGAGAGAGGAGCATAGTCACAAGACGTAGTTTTTCCATATGCCTACATTTGTCAGTCTCACAAATCTCTAGTTTCGTTACTATAAGAAGCCTCAGTTCCTTTAGAAAACACTGGAAATCAGAAATAATTAGTTTTGTATTCTATAATATATATGTAATATCTTGTCTAAGGAATTACAGTGAGTAAGATCTTCAGAGCAGGAGCTGTGTGTTGCTGTGTGTTTGTACTATGTCTAGGACAACAGAACCCCAGTTCTGCTTGGGGCTTCTGAGTGCTTATGCAATATAAATAGTCATTAATAATTGCTATATTCCCCGCAACTGGCAATGTGAGCTCCATTCAATTACTGATTACTCTGTGAAAAGTCGGAGCAGGAATAAATTGCATGACTTGCCTCCTACCTCAATCAGCAAATGCAAAGATAGCCCTTATGCAGAGCAGAATGGGCTGGGAAAGGAGTATTAATTGGCTGTGCCTAGTTCTTTTCTCCCATCAGAGGAGATACACAATGCAGAGAATGAAAAGGTAGGAGACAATCAAGGGCCCAGCCATAGAAAGCCTGATTCATGAAGACCATCTCCATTTGAGCAGCTCACATCCCACCAGTAGAGGAAAACAACATTCAGGTACCCTCCTTGGTTGTACTGTTACAAGAAGAGGACAAGTGGCAAGTTCAGGGAACTTCTTTGGTTGGGTCTCTTCCCTTTTACTGTATTTGCTATGGTAGTATAAGACATTGTACATTTGTTGTAGTTAGCTGTAAGTTTTGGATATTCATAGGCTTAGGAAGAGCTTTGGATTTTGTCTCCTTCACCAGTTTTGCAACTTACCAAATAGCGTAGGCACTCTGGGCTAGATTCACAAAGGGACTTAAGCGCTGCTGCAATGCCTCACTTTTAGATGCTCTGTTGCCCAGTGGAATTCACAACCCTGAGTGAGGTGCCCAGGCTCCCTGTACAATGCATGGGGAAAGTTATGGGATTCACAGAAGCCTGCACACTGAGTAGGGATCCATCTGAGCTAGGCCTTAGGAAAAGCCAAGCAGATGGCTATGGCCAAAACCCTGCCCCCTCACAGAACTAGGTTCCTAACTCTGCTTGGGATTCATAGCTGTGAACCCTCTCCTGGAGAAGGCGCCTCAGCCACTTTTTGCAAAAAATGTAGCAGCAAGTAGCTATAACCTTTAGCCCAGTACTTCGGGCACTCAGCTGAGTTGCGTTCAACCCCCTTTTCCTCATCATGCAAAGGAGGGAATCAAATCTGGGTTTCTAACACCCCAGATGAGTACTCTACCCGCTGGCTTCAGAGGATGCTCTCCTGCTCATCCTTGTGAGGCCATTTTGTGTGGGTTAAGGCATACTCAATGCACACCTACCAGATCAGGAAAAACAGGCAAGAGAATACCTCATTTGTGAATCCCACTGGGGCTTAGGCACCAACCTGCTGGGTGGTATCAGGGCTAAGGCTGTGTGCATGCTCAGTTTCCTAAATGTAGGCCCTCTGGCAGGCCCTTGGGTGCCTAGGGATGTTGGGCAGCAGCTGAGTAGGGGGGGTTGTGAATGCCAGTGGTGTCTAAATGTTTGACTTAGGTGCCTTAGTCCCTTTATGAATCTAGCTCTCTTGGGATAACTAACATGCTATTTGAAATGTGACCTTTTCCACTCTGCTGTCTGAAGACAACCTAAGGACAGTCACTTGGGTGGAGTTGCAGAGGTGCTGAGTTTTCGCAGATCTCCTCTGAAAAGGTCAGGCCAACTCTGCATTGGTTGAGCTTATGGATGCTCAGGCATAACTTGACAAGTTGCTGCTCGGTGTTCAGTTCTAAGTCTTCTCTTTGACTTTCTATGGTTTCCCACAGTAAATGTTCAAATGCTTGCAAACTGTGCCCTAATTCCTGCAAAAATGGACACTAGTAGTCCTAATGGCACTACTCCCAGTAATAAAATTAAGCACATGCATGAGTATTTGCAGGATCAGGGCCCAGGTAATCATGAATGCCAACACTGAGTCCAATGCCTATTCATATGCATTATCTGGACTGAGAAGGCAGAGATGTTTCATTCCTGATTAGTGTAAATTCAAATTATGTGCCATCCATTCGTTATAGTTAGGAAAATATAAAATAGCTCCTCCCTTATCACTCAGATGAATCTAAGGTTTTTCCTATACCATGGAATTTACAGCACCCATATCTCGGCACTGATTCTGGATATGTGTGCAGGAAACACACCCCTATCCAAACTTGGCACTGAGACTGACCCATTAATTAGACCCATATTCATGTGCCATAGTACTTTTTTTCCATAAGAGTGCTCAGTGGGACTACTCCTGGAGTAAGGTGCTACTCAATGTCACAGTATCAGACTCCTGCTCTTATGGACTCCTGAAACGGCATCAATACTTGTAAAAGCTTGTAGCAATTTAGGAAAAGAAGTTAGAAGTTTGATGGGGAAGAAGGGTAGTCAGAGAGTCACGTATCCTAAACCAATCAGTAATATCATATGTTGCTTACTCTTAAACATCGGTACTTTTGTCACGTGGTGATAAATGAATCAACTTTTATTATAAAAATATACTTTATTTAAAGTCTATGTATGTCTTGTATGAAGACTCAGCTAATTTATTGATGTTTAGCTTCCATGACAATATGTACACCTGAAAATATATGAACTATTTAAATAGCAGTTTGACATACTGTAGTAACTACAGAAACTGATTTACGCACTACCACTGAAATCCACTCTACCTGGTGTGTCAAACCCACATTCACACATTATGCCTTATTTAATATTTCAACTGTGTAGGTTAACAGTGTAAAATAAATAATTGGCAAAGCCATTCAAAACTAGTTTTCTTTGTTAATAATTTACTATTACTGCAAATGTCATAAAACCTTTATAAATTATTTTGTTCGATCTTTGCAGACAACATGTAGCTTTAATTCTGAAAATTGCCTGTCAGAGATTAAAACTCAACAACTATTTCCTGGCCAAATCCTACATTTAAGAATTTTTAAGTAGCTTTGTACTTTATTGGAGTCTCTCCTGAAGCAGTGAATAAACTCATAGTCACTCATCAAATTTGCTTCATTACTAATGGATAAACCAGCTGCTTCTGATGATCCCATTCCATTCAATGAATTGCTGATGATCCCCATTGACTGCATCTGAATTGAAAACAGAATATGTATGACTGTAACTTGTCAATAGGTGTAAATGTGCATAGAACCAAAATGCTCAAGTTGAAGCTAACAAAATCAGGGTTTATAGAACACCACTAGTGAAATCATCAGCTAAGGTAGACTGCTCACCTCCAGGTTTTTTATGCAAGTACTGAAAAAATATGTGCAAAGTTCTCTAAAGAAAGGCTGGTATTGCATTTCCTGCTATCCAGGGACTACATAAGATTCTTACTAGCCTGAATTGGTTTCATATTATTTCAAGAAATTCTGCCTCTGGAAGCAGAACTTTGGCAATGCTATCAACGTAACACCCTATGAACATGGAGTAGGTAAAGGCTACTCTTCAGTATGGCTGCCCCATCTCAAGATAGTACAGTGGATCAGTTTTCTTCAGACTTGTAGCTTTATTTAACAAGCTTCATTTAGTAAGGTGCTAGGCCTTCTAGCAGGTGCTGAGCATCCGCAAGAGCTGTTAATGTCAATGCAAGATAAGCACCTCTTAGAAGGACTGGCCCCCGGGCAAGATCAAGCCCAGACTCAGTGTAATATGGAAAAATACTGTCACGTGACACTGTTTATGCAACAAGTAGTTTCAATTTGATATTGTTTCTTTCTTATACTTTACTATTTGTGAAACCTTGGTAGCACGTACATAACTGCCGTTCCCTGAGCCTCTCATCCAAGAATTTCCCCAAAACATGCTGTAGAAATGGGCCTGAGCTACAAACCTGGATACAAATATCCTGAACTTGGGCGAAGTTTGAATCTGTTTTTGAATTTTATGTTTGGCCCCAAGTCTATGATGAACTAAACAAAAATCTAGATATTAAATGCCCCTGAATTCTGGGGAAGTTCTAATCCATATTCATAGCCAAACTGAAGATTGGGCTTCTCCGTTTATAGCTCTGTCCTGTGAAGTGCTGTTCAATTTCACTTCAGTGGTGGCTGCATTTCAGTGGATGAAATGACCCCTCTGCTGTATATGCTGAGTTCTATGTCAGTTTCAATTTGTATCTTACGGTGGTGAGATATTAAGGGGTTTTCTTATTTTTTAAACTGTTTAGTGGGATGTCTGCATGGGAACAAACATGTTAATTGTCAGAGACATAAAGAAAATAGGCCTGATTCTATATTCCTTATTCAGTCACAGCTCCAGCTGAGTTTAGTGAGAGTTGTGAGTGCACATGGAATACAAGATCAGGCCCACTATCTGGCAATTAAAAGTGAGAGAGCTGCAAATATAATCTGAATCCACAATGTACATTTACCAGAAGGCATTTGTCTTGGGGCTTTAAAATGGTTATGAAAGTAGCTAGGGGTGGAATCCAGAAAGGGGCTTAGGTGTTGTGACATTCAGTGTTGCAATGCCTAACTTTTAGGCCCCTAGCAAATCTCAGGAACAACTCCGCAATCCACAACGCTGAGTTAGGTGTCCAGGCTTCTTAGACAATGAATAGGGAGAGAAAGCCACCTAAGAATGAGATCCACAAAAGCCAGCATGGTAGGCAGGAAGCTGCCTAAGCTAGCCAATAGGAGATGCTGACATGCTAAGATCCTGCTCCTTTCTCAGAGATAAGTGCCTCAGTCCAGGATGCTGGGAAGTGCCTAGCTCTGCTAGCTATCCATGAACAGGAACCCTGTCCCTGGCTTAGGCACCCATGTAGTTTCTTGCCAGAAGGAGTTCGGTGCTGGCCTTGTACCACACAAAACATCCAGAGAAGGAAATGGTGCTGGGACCCACCTGATCACTTTTAGTCCAGTACTCAACTGAGATGTGGGGGAGACAGGTTCAATTACCCCCACTCTGGCAGGCAGGGAAAAGACTGGAAGTGGGGTCTCTTACCGCTCAGGAGTATGCTCTAACCACTGAGCTATTGGATAGTCTGATGTGGGGCTCCCTCAGCCTCTCCTGCTGAAGCTGTTCCACTGTGAACACTTATGCTAAGGTTATATCTTGGTAACTGAGAGCGGAATTTGGCCTCGAAGACCCTTTGGTGTTTCAGTATAATTGATATTAGAAAAAATTAGGTTGAAAATCTTGCCTTCTCTGTTACTTTCTCCATTCCAGTCTTCAACTCATGCACCATACTGCTGATTTGCTTTGCTTTGCTCAGGCTATCACTAGAGAATTCTTGATGATGACCAATATTCTGGTCAAAGTGGGAAAGTGGTTCCTTCCAGGCTTGCAAGAGTCTCAGTATCAAGTGAGTTAGTTCTTCTCTCTTGAAAACAAAATATGAAAGAACTTTCTTATTAGCTTGCATCAAAGCATATGAACAGTGATGTTCTCATTGGGCACAGTATACTTAAACAGGTACTGACACTTAAAATCTGGGCACACTTAAAATTTCTATGCATACAATTCATAACTAACTTGCAAATATTTAGAAAATAACAGTTTCATGGGCTTCTTTTCTCTAGTTGTACATTTGTATGAACAAAAAACCAAAATGACTTTGCACATGCAACTTCTTCCCAAATTGCTTAGGATCTCGTTCTGTAATGTCTTAAAATGCATCCAAGTGGTGGTACTTCATTAAATAGTGCTAAATTGAAATCAAATGCTAAACTGCCAAGTTGTTAGATGGAAAAAGTCTTGAGGGAAAACTTTCAGAAGTGCCAAAGGCCCAGGTCCACAAAGGGACTTGGGCGTTGCAATACCAAGCACTGCTGCTCTTAACTTTTAGGTGCCTAGAAAATCACAGGAACACCACTGAGATCCACAAAGCCTGAGTTAGGTGCCTAGCTCCCCACACAATGAATGGGGAGAGATAGCTGCCTGAGGGCTGATCTACATTGGGAGCTTACATCAGCATAGCGACGTCTCTTGGGGAGTGAAAATCCACACCCATGAGAAATGTAGCTATGCCTTCCTAACCCTCAGTGTAGACAGCACTAGGTCAATGGAAGAATTCTTCCATCGACCTAGCTACTGCCTCTCAGGGAGGTAGATTGCCTATGTCAATGGGAGAAACCCCCCCCGCACCTTTGGCATAGGTAGGGTCTATGAAGTGCTGCTGAGGCATAGCTGTAGCTGTTTTGCTATTGAGGTATAAGCGTAGTCTGCAATCCACAAAAGCCAGCATGCTAGGTGGAGAGCCACCTAAACTAGCCAATGGAGAGCCTAATGAGAGGGGTGTGTGATGAGCCTGGCCCCCTCTCAGGAAGATAGGTGCCCAGCCTGTGGGGAGGTGCCTATCTGTGCTTAACAATTTACAAAGGAAAACCCCTCTCCTGGAATCAGGCAGCTTAGACATCTAAGGAGTTTCTGGTGGGAATGAATTAGGCACCTGCCTCGCTCCACACAAAACACCCAGAGAAGGAGTTGCTGATTCCTACTGTCTAACTTTTAGCTCAGTGGTTGGAGCATTCCTTTCGGATGAGGGAGATGCAGCTTCAGTTCCCCCTCTATCTGAGTGGGGATGTGAACAGGAAGCTTCCACCTCTGAGCATTCTAACCACTGAGCTATGGGATAGTTTGATGTGGGGGCTCACTCGGTCTCTCCTTTTGAAGTTCTTCCACTGTGGCTAACTAATGAAAGAGTGATTGGAGCAGGGGGACTAGATTCTGGGTCTCCCACCTTCGAGGTAGGTGCCCTAATCTCTAGACTACAAAGTCTCTTTCTCTGTGGCACAGTTACATTTCCACTGTGGATAAATACTTAAATAGTCATTGGGCCAGAGAGCATGAGAATGACTCTGGTTTAGTGGTTAGGGCAATACCTGGTAGGTGGGAGACACAGGTGCAGTTACCTTGTTCCAATCACTCTTTCATTAGTTAAAACTGTTCCACTTGGCTAACAAGAGAGATTGAGGGAGCCCAACATCAGAATATCATGTAACTCAGTGGTTAGAGCTCTCCCCTGAGAGGTGGGAGACCTTCCTGGTCAAATTTTTTACTACCTCTCAGGCAGAGTGGAATTGAAGCTGGGTCTCCCACATCCCAGGTCAGGAGTGACCAACCTGTGCTTGAGAAGGAACCAGAATTTACCAATCTGCATTGCCAAAGAGCCACAGTAACACAGCAGCGGCCCCCTGTCAGCTCTCCCACCCAGAGTCTCCCACCCGCCATCAGCACCTAATCCTCCATCCCTGCGCCTGCCACGATCAGCTGTTTTGTGGTGTGCAGGAAGCTGGGGGTGGGAGGGGAGGAGGAGCAAGGGCTCAGCAGACTGAGGGGAAAGGGCAGAGGCCTGGGGGAAAGGAGTCGAGTGGGGGCCAGGGCCTGAGCAGTGAGCACACTCTGGCACATTGGAAAGTTGGCACCTGTAGCTCCAGCCCTGGAGTTGGCACCTATGCAAGGAGCCGCATATTAACCTCTGAAGAGCAGCATGTGGCTCCGGAGCCACAGGTTGGCCACCCCTGCCCCAGATGAATGCTCTAACCACTGGGCTAAAAGTTGGAAACCCCTCCACTTGTGAGATTTTTGAAGTGGACCCCATGCAGTAGGCAGCCTCCGAGCACACCTTAGGTGGCCAAATGCCTTTGTCCCCCCGGTTCATGGATTGCTCCAGAGCTTATGCAGGAGATATGCCTCTGGATGCATAGGGAGAGGCAGCCATGCGCATGCTCAGAGGCAGGAACTTATGTACCTAGGGAATTTTTACGCTGAAAAATGTAGGCACCAAGTGAGTATAGGTACCTATAGGGTTTGGCAGGAGTTTTGTGGATTGCAGTGGAGTCAAAACTGGGATTTAGGCACCTAAATACCTTTGGATCTGGATATATGTGACTTAGACTTAGGAGCCTGTCTCTGACTTTCCATGAGCTTTAAGCTCCTAAATGCCTGAATTGCTTTTGAAAATGGCACTTAGATTCCCAAGTCCCTTAGCTGCTTTTGAAAATTTTATCCTTTCTAAGCACATCTGTTTTCACTTGCAAAGAAAGAGAAAAATCACAGGAAGAGCATTTCCCCATTATTTTAACCATCAAAACCAAAGAGAAACGTTGCGAAATAACATTTTTGTAGATTTCTTTTCTCCCATTTTTTCTTTTTATCCATCCCTCTTTTACAATATTTTTCACCTTGTCTTTGTGCCTTTGGCTTTTCAATGACTGCTTTTTGTCACTACTTTTAAAATACTGATTACTTTCCTTAGCTTTGAGCTCCTACAGTTTCTTTGCTTGATTTCTGTTCCTCACTATATTTTTTTCTTTGACACATTTCTGTTTAAAAATGTTGGCTTCTCTCCCCCCCCGCCCCCATGGTTCTCTCATAATGGCTTTCTAAATTTTTACAATGGCACTGGTTAATCGAATTTATTTGTAGAGTTCACAGCTACTTCCTAGATTTGTCTTTCATTGTGCCAGAGTAAATTAAAGGGAAAATGTATCCCTGTCTTTCCTTGGGGATGTTTGACCTTTGTTTAAGTATTTCAGTGCCTTTTTTATAACTAATGAATGTGAATTAATCTTATAGAGACTCACAAACATTATTTCTTACAATCAGAAGGAAATTGGGATTCGTTCTGAGATCTCAAATTCATCAGCTACCCTGCTTACACTCTCCAAATATGTAGGATGCAAGAACTTTAAAGAGGAAGCATCAGCTATAACTAAGGCTATGATTTTGTCACGGAGGTCATGGAAGCCACAGAATCCACGACTTCCAAAGACCTCCGTGATTTCAGCCCTGGCGGCTAGGAGTTGCAGGGTCCCGCCGCCTCCCGCAGTGGCAGGGAGCTGTAAGGTACCCCGCCACCCGAGGCACCGGGGGTACCCACAGCTCCCCGCCGCTGCAGGCAGGGGGGTACCCGACAGCTCCCCAGCTGCTGCTATGGGGCAGGAGGACCCTGGGAGCTCCCCTCCGCCGCTGGGGGCAGGGGGACCCTGGGAGCTCTGAGTCCCCCTGGATGGTGGGGGCCCTAGAGCTCCCAGCCACCCTGCAGCTGCCCAGTCCCTTCCCATTTTATCATGGATATTTTTAGTAAGAGTCAGAGACAGATGAGGGGCTTCTGTGACATTTTTTTATTGTCTGTCACCTGTCCCTGACTTTTACTAAAAATATCTATGACAAAAATCTTAGCCTTATCTATAACATTCCAATGGTACAAAATCCCCCTGGCTGGGACTATGCTGAGAATTCACCTACTAGCCACGTGGGGCTCCCTACCAGCAGGTTCTGAGCGTTTTCCACTTCCTTTGAAGCCCGTGGGAGTGGAGGGTGCTCAGCACTTTACAGGATCGTGCCTGCCTCTTCAGTGACAATATTCCTTCCTTCCCTCCTTAGATAATAACTTCAATCTGGCACAGCTCAGTTTGACAAACCGTCCCCTTAAGTTTCCCCATACAAATAGTGACCATATCTGACATCACTGCATGTCATATCAAGTCCAGTGCAAGCTTATAAGGCCTTACCGGTATTTTTTGAACATACTCCTTGCCATTAGGCGTTAGCATCCTTGAGGTGTGGCATTTACCTGTCCATTTGCCCAACTCGTTTCCATTGGGTAGAAAGTTTTTTTCCTGGGGGGGGGGGGGGGGAGGGGAAAAACCAACACACACATTGTAGAACTGTAGTTGGAACGCTGGTGGTTTTCAATAGCTATTTTGTCACCTTGCACATTTCCTTTTACCAAACCCCCACATCACAGTGAAAACGCGGAAATACAGCGGGATAACTCGTGAGCAGACCTAGCCCATGGAGCTACTATGTCACACGTGGTGTGAGTAAATAAATACTGAGCATCTGACAGTGCCCAGACTTTCCTGCTGCTCCCGTAGCTGATCAGCGATACAGAACGGAGACAGCGAGCAATGGACCGACCGCGTACCCAGCCCAGGGTTTTAAACAGTCGGGAGGAGAGAGGAAGCCAGATGCTCTGGCGAACATGCCCTGAGGTCGGAGATCGCCCCGTGCCCAGCGGAGGCGAGCCCTAGGAGAACAGGGGAGCCTGGGGCGCGGCGGGGCGGGGCACTCACCAAGTCCAAGTAGAGCGCCGTGGAGAGGCTGTGTAGCCTGTCCGAGTGCTGGATCACCCGGTCGAAAAGATCAGACACGGACAAGAAGCGGCAGCCCGAGTCTCCCTGCCGGGCGCAAATTGCCACGGAAGCGGCTCCGGGCGGCTTCCCCAGCAGCCAGAGCAGGGCGCACAGCCAGGCGTAACCTGCGAAGAGCGGATGGCTCAAGACCAGCCCGCTGCTCCGCGGGCACCGCTGTGGCGCCGCCTGGCGCCGGGCCGGGGTCCGCTGCTTACCTTGGCGCGCGGCGCCCATGGTGCAGGCGGGAGCGGCGAGCGGGCGGGCGCCGGGTCGGGTTGCTCTGGGATGCCCCTGGCTCCCCTATATATGCGCGCGTGGAGATGGGCACGAGGGGGAGCTGAGGACACGCGGGTGCGTGCGGGGCGGCTGCTGTTCGTCATTGCTGGGTCCCTCAGCGCGCGCCTCCGGGCTTGCGCGGCCCGCAGCGGGGATTAGCCACTGGCGCGGAGCGGGGCGCTGGCTCCGGGAGACGCCGCAGCTCGGAGACGGCGAGTGTTAATCCCGAGACAACAACTAGGTGCCCGAGGGAGAGCAGCTGGAGGGCGAGGAAACGCCCCGCGTGCGTACTGCATATTTCCCACCAGCACGCACAGACTGTGCGCCCCTGACCAAGGGCCAGGGGCCTGATTTTCCCTCTGCCTCACCAGTTTTAAACTGGTCGCTCCACTGACTCCAGGGGAATGAGGCCTGATTTCTAGGGGCACAAGTCAGAGACTAGGTCCTTTGTAGGTAGTACCTACACGGAGAGAGAGAGCGGGGATGCACACTATGGGCCAGACCTTGGCCTCCAGCAGTGCTGCGCTGGGCAACACAGAGAACCACAGCTGGCAAGTTGGTGATTCCCCCGCTACCCCTGGCTGGCAGAGAAGCAGCGATAATGACCCCATAGAATCATAGAATATCAGGGTTGGAAGGGACCCCAGAAGGTCATCTAGTCCAACCCCTCGCTCGAAGCAGGACCAATTCCCAGTTAAATCATCCCAGCCAGGGCTTTGTCAAGCCTGACCTTAAAAACCTCTAAGGAAGGAGATTCTACCACCTCCCTAGGTAACGCATTCCAGTGTTTCACCACCCTCTTAATGAAAAAGTTTTTCCTAATATCCAATCTAAACCTCCCCCACTGCAACTTGAGACCATTACTCCTCGTTCTGTCATCTGCTACCATTGAGAACAGTCTAGAGCCATCCTCTTTGGAACCCCCTTTCAGGTAGTTGAAAGCAGCTATCAAATCCCCCTCATTCTTCTCTTCTGCAGGCTAAACAATCCCAGCTCCCTCAGCCTCTCCTCATAAGTCATGTGTTCCAGACCCCTAATCATTTTTGTTGCCCTTCGCTGGACTCTCTCCAATTTATCCACATCCTTCTTGTAGTGTGGGGCCCAAAACTGGACACAGTACTCCAGATGAGGCCTCACCAATGTCGAATAGAGGGGAACGATCACGTCCCTCAATCTGCTCGCTATGCCCCTACTTATACATCCCAAAATGCCATTGGCCTTCTTGGCAACAAGGGCACACTGCTGACTCATATCCAGCTTCTCGTCCACTGTCACCCCTAGGTCCTTTTCCGCAGAACTGCTGCCTAGCCATTCGGTCCCTAGTCTGTAGCGGTGCATTGGGTTCTTCCGTCCTAAGTGCAGGACCCTGCACTTATCCTTATTGAACCTCATCAGATTTCTTTTGGCCCAATCCTCCAATTTGTCTAGGTCCTTCTGTATCCTATCCCTCCCCTCCAGCGTATCTACCACTCCTCCCAGTTTAGTATCATCCGCAAATTTGCTGAGAGTGCAATCCACACCATCCTTCAGATCATTTATGAAGATATTGAACAAAACCGGCCCCAGGACCGACCCTTGGGGCACTCCACTTGATACCGGCTGCCAACTAGACATGGAGCCATTGATCACTACCCGTTGAGCCCGACAATCTAGCCAGCTTTCTACCCACCTTATAGTGCATTCATCCAGCCCATACTTCCTTAACTTGCTGACAAGAATACTGTGGGAGACCGTGTCAAAAGCTTTGCTAAAGTCAAGAAACAATACATCCACTGCTTTCCCTTCATCCACAGAACCAGTAATCTCATCATAAAAGGCGATTAGATTAGTCAGGCATGACCTTCCCTTGGTGAATCCATGCTGGCTATTCATAGAATCATAGAATCATAGAATATAAGGGTTGGAAGGGACCCCAGAAGGTCATCTAGTCCAACCCCCTGCTCGAAGCAGGACCAATTCCCAGTTAAATCATCCCAGCCAGGGCTTTGTCAAGCCTGACCTTAAAAACCTCTAAGGAAGGAGATTCTACCACCTCCCTAGGTAACGCATTCCAGTGTTTCACCACCCTCTTAGTGAAAAAGTTTTTCCTAATATCCAATCTAAACCTCCCCCACTGCAGCTTGAGACCATTACTCCTCGTTCTGTCATCTGATACCATTGAGAACAGTCTAGAGCCATCCTCTTTGGAACCCCCTTTCAGGTAGTTGAAAGCAGCTATCAAATCCCCCCTCATTCTTCTCTTCTGCAGGCTAAACAATCCCAGCTCCCTCAGCCTCTCCTCATAACTCATGTGTTCTGATCACTTTCCTCTCATGCAAGTGCTTCAGGATTGATTCTTTGAGGACCTGCTCCATGATTTTTCCAGGGACTGAGGTGAGGCTGACTGGCCTGTAGTTCCCAGGATCCTCCTTCTTCCCTTTTTTAAAGATTGGCACTACATTAGCCTTTTTCCAGTCATCCGGGACTTCCCCCGTTCGCCACGAGTTTTCAGAGATAATGGCCAATGGCTCTGCAATCACAGCCTCCAATTCCTTCAGCACTCTCGGATGCAACTCGTCCGGCCCCATGGACTTGTGCATGTCCAGCTTTTCTAAATAGTCCCTAACTACCTCTATCTCCACAGAGGGCTGGCCATCTCTTCCCCATTTTGTGATGCCCAGCGCAGCAGTCTGGGAGCTGACCTTGTTAGTGAAAACAGAGGCCATAGCATCCCCCTCTCCCAAACACACCCCCAGGGCCAGCCTTAGGGACAACGGCGCCCTGGGCAAACTTGTATTTTGGCACCCTGGCATTTGCAGGCGCCTCTCCCCCCCCCCCCAATCGCTTGTGGCCCCTGTGGGCTCCCTGGGCTCCCCCCCTCCATCACCTGCAGGAAGGGTGCACAGGCAGGATCCCCTGCCCACTGACCACTCTGCCACAGGAAGGGGGACCCAGGGCTGCCCACTGGCTCCACAGGAGCAAGCCCTGCTGCCTGCACCTCCCCACCAGACTGGCAACTTGGGGCAGTATTACCCGCCTTCTCCTGGCTGGCCAGGTACTGCAGCCCTGGGCTTGCCTGCACTCACCCTTGCTCTGGAGCCCAGGCCCACTAGCTTGCAGCACTTGGATGGTGCCCCCGACCAAGGTGCCCTGGGCTGTTGACAGGTTGCCCATGTTGCCTACCCCCTAAGGCCGGCCCTGAACACCCCCATCATGGTGTATGATGCTTAAAGCAGTGGCAGAAAAAGATAATTTTAGCAGCAGCATTTTGAATTGATAGGACCAGCGGAGGTCCGAAAGGAAGTTTGCAATAGTCAAGACAAGAGATAATTAAGGCATGAATTTTGCAGCAGGGAGAGTGAAGGATGGTAAAAGGCAAAAATTAGGTGTGTAAAAGAGAGGAAAAGTCTGAGAAGGCCTCTCAGGCCATTTCAGTTCATAATGAAAGAGAAAACAGACAAAAATTCTCTATGCTTACTGAAGGCAGAGGGAAACACTCAGCAGGATCAATGAAGGGGACAATGCCTGGTATCACGTTAAATGTACTTGTTTCACTGTTCATTTGTTTCAGTTCTGTGGTCTGCATTACAATATCAGGGATCCTGTTATTAGGATCTAGGAATTATGGTCCTGATTCAGCAAAGCTGTTCAGCCCCTGCTGAGGTCCATTCCTATCCAGCAAAGCACCTAGGCCCAGATCATTATGCATGTTTTTCCTCCAAATTTTCTAATCTAGAACTTCATAATATTTAGGCCCAATCCTGCAAACATGTAGACAGGTGAGTACTTCAGGAATGTGAGTAATCCTATAATTCGTTTATGTAAATTTGTTAAAGCGGACCTGAGGTCCAGATCCACATATGTATTTAGGCTTCTAACACCCATTTGGGGATGGACTTTAGGTGGTGGTATGTTCAGCATCTACAGAGTCACTCTCTCTCTCTCTTTCTCTGGTCCAACGGCTGTTCCACTGTGGATAAATACTTAAATAGTTGGGGGGATGACTGGAAGAGAGGGGGTAGGTCAACAGCCTGGTGCAGGAACGGTGGAAGCTTCCTAAAAATAGGGGGTCCACCAGCACCCAAACTGGAGCCCCACCCCCACACCACCTTCTCCCCTATTCCCTGCCCTCACACTGCCTCTTCCCCTACCCCAAAACCCTGTTCTCCCTTGCTCCTCTTTGCCCCCTCTCTCCCCAGTCGCTCGCCCTTATGGCCGGTAAAAAGTGGGGGCTATGGCCTGGGGGTTAGGGCACTCACCTGGGATGTGACACCCCTTGGGTCCAGTCCCCCTACTCCAGTCACTCTTTTGTTATTTAGCCAGAGTGGAACAGCTTCAACAGGAGAGATTGAGGGACCCTCACATCAGAATATCCCATGGCTCAGTGGTTAGAATGCTCACTTAGGATTTGAACAGGGGTCTCCCACCACATTTCTACTCCTCTGGGTCTCCTGCATCCCAGTGAGTGCTCTAACTACTGGGCTAAAAGCTACAAAGTGGGCTCTCTCTCTGGCCTTTTTGTGTGGAGCGAGGCAGGAATTTAGCTGATTCTCATGAGAAATGCCTCAGGTGCCTAAACTATCTGACTCCAGGAGAGGGGCTCCTGTTTGTGGATTACTGAGCAGAACTCAGTGCCTCCCTGTAGCCTGGATTTAGTGCCTACCTCTTCTCCTACAGGCTAGCTTAGGTGGCATCGCTTCCAGCCAGCTGACTTTTGTGGATTGCTTTTTTAGGTGCTTCTCTCTCCCCAGCCATTGTATAGGAGCCAAGGCACCTACCTCAGCTTTGTGAATCTCAGTGTTTTGTTTTGTTTTTTCTTTCCACATACTTTAATGGATTCCATAACAATGAACAAGATGGAGTTTAGAACTGGATCACTTGGCCCTTTCTCTTCTTGTCTCCTCCCAGCTCAAAGTGCTTAATGGCCGCAGTTGGGCTCCACACACGCAAGCCTCAGCACAATCTTCTTCGTGGTCTTG